CCTGGAAATGCTCATTTCTAGTGCAACATGTCGCGAAGGTAGACTGAGCACACAGATCATCTCCCGTGGTCACCAGAGCTCGAGTCCCAGCCATGACAAAAGCACAAGAGAGTGAGAGGTTTCTAATGGAGCTGCACAGGCCAACTCCCTCTGGAACCTCGAAATTGCGTTGTAGTTATGTCATCATCAACATAATCTATGGCTTTGTTGTTTCTTTACATGTATTGACACTGATTTTCAATATTTAGCTGAACTTTTGACCATACAAACTCTTTCAACCTTGAATATGAGCCAGACCTTCAAGATTTTGCAATTGTTTTGGTGTGAAAAAACCAAATCAGTCTACATTGTTGATTTCTTTGGACACTTGTTTATTGCTTGACAAACTTTCTCAAAACTAAAGAATTTTCCAGTAAAATATCTGCAGGTGTTTTTTTTATCAAGAAACATCAAAGTTCTCAAGAACTTTGGACGTGAGGTCAAGCTCGATGTGTTCGCAGCACAGATGTCAGATCCTCATCCAGGTGTTTTGATGGTAGAGAAAGCACAAAAAAGGTTCTCTACCATCTAATGCAAATGTGACATGTTGCTTCTTACTTATGTCCAGAAAAGTAAAGCTGATAGTTCACTTTTAAAGACGATGCCATGCGGAGCCACACTGTCAGGAGAGACATACCAAGCAAATGCTCGGAGAACTCCGCGGCCCCTTACATTGATCCACAACTGTCATGAAGTTTATAGACACGAAGGACAAACATGCTGGGCTACCACATGCTGCCAGAAAAGCTTCAGCGTACCTTGGCATTTGTTCTCCAAGCATCTTGAACTCTGCTACAGGAACAAAACACAATTCTTTCACTACGATCTCACGCCATCGTTTGGTGTTCAGAGTGCATCAGTGTAAAATCTCCCCTGTAAGATCCAACCCATCAAAAAATATCCAGAACATTCTGATGTTTATTAACCCTTACCACAAGATCCACAAACATTTTTTCGCTATATCATGTTGTTTATGACATATTTATTATATTTTTAATATATATTTATTATATATTTTTATATCACATTTGATACTTTGGGCATTTTTGGCAACTTTTCTTAACAACGTTAATTTTAGGCAAAAAAGTTTTGTCCATAACATTTTGAAATTATGGCAAGTATTGATCATGTTGCTGAGATAGAGGTCTATCATATATGATACAAAGGGCATTATATATTATATATATAAACTACTGTAAAGCCAGTAGCATATGATTCACACTCATTCAGCTAAAGGAGAATGATTCCTTCCAATGGGGCAAGAAAAACCATGCGAGCAAAACGCCCCTGTACAGAATGAGAGCTCCACTCATTGCTTAGAAGTTTCAGGTTCTTCAGTGTTTTCTGTGAGTTACAAAATGCTGCTGGTGACTTTGCTGAGGAGGTCAGTTTTGTCTTATAGTATATCAAGACATGAAGTGGATAACGAAAGCACTCCCTGATGCAGACACAGCACACTGCTGTGTTGCAATAACAGCTAATGAACAACTTCAGGAACCCAGAATTTTCTTTACATTGGACTTACTGTCTGTAGTGATTCAATGCAATGGAGAGGTGTTTACCAGCAAAGCAGACGTGTTAAAGAGCTCAGCCACTCTGCAACAACAAAGCCTGCATCACAGCAACATTTCAGTGGTTGCCAATTATATTTCAATCTGTTTACTGGAGTTAACATCAGAAAACGGTAGTTATGCACAGGAAACATACTAATAAAATCACTTGGGCAAACACTGACACTGTGGTTGCATGCAGTCTTATTGGTCATTATAACCCCCAATGTTTGCCAATGCTGATGTCACCATAACGCCCTCCATCACCCCACATCCTCCTTACGTTGTGCTAAGATGTTTATTAGTTTGATTTGGTCAGATCCACCCCATGACCATTACCTCCAGTTTCAAAAAGCAAAGATGGAAGTCTTCAGAAATCAGACTTGACACTATACACATAACTGTCTTTTGTGCCAGTGCTTCTACAGCATCGCCCTTACTTTCAGTACAGGCCACGGTTTATTTGGTTCTTAAGACGTGTCTATTTACAAAGCATGAAGAGTGCATCTGGAGGTCTCTGAAACACAGGTGCTCTGGACCTGGGAAAGATGACAAATGAGAGCAGCAGTCTGGGCTATCATAAATTTCTCGGTCAATGCACTTTTAAGAAATGGGGAGTAAAATGTCTCTTATAAGCACTTCTTTTGACACAGTTTTTCATGATCCTCTGAATGTTTCACTACACTGCTGAGTGATCATCCACTGATATGGAGTGATGCTGATAATAAAGACACAGAGATGACCTTAGAGCTGCGGAGAGCAAGCACAGAGACTCTGCTGCTTCCAGGTGCTTCCAGGAATAGCAGAGCCACTAATGGCGCTGGCCAGCAAAGTGGGCTGTAATGCCTGTTGATGGAAAACACAGCCGGCCAATTACAGCGACCATATCTAATCACCAGGGTCAAGGGTCAACTCCCATCCACCATCTGTCTTCATTTGGCGTCTCTGTCATGAGCTGTTGCTTCATTGCCAGTGAAGAGTTTAAAAGACCTGAATGTACAGTCATGAGGCAAAGGGAGGACAGTGCATGACACGTACACAGTGAACAGTGATGTCCTAGCTGACATTCAAGGTCCATCCATAGTGCACTTCACAAACATGCTCACACTGATTCAAAGGTATCTGTGGCTGATGGGACAGATCTGCTCAGACAGCAACATTACGGAGGGACATCATAACCTTGAAAAGTCTGGAGCCTCCTGCCGTCTCCTCTCAGAGGAGAGAGAGAAGCTGTTGTCATTCAGCACACATGGTTTAGAAAGACTGAGTGTCAAGTGTAATAAATCACCCTGTCTATGCAAACAGAAACAGAGACAGATCCGCGTGTATTCTGAGACATTAGTGTGCACAGTCAGTAATTATGCATGTCTAAAGGGTCAGTTCATCCAAAAATGACATCATTGTGAGATAAGAGCACATGCTGATAGTAGAGAAGAGAGTTCATGGAAAGATCAAATGGCAAGTTGTTGTTGTTGTGCTTTAAACTCACTGTAAAAAGTGGAAGATGTTCTACTGACAGTAGATGTTGTAGCATTTTATTTTAAAAAGTTAAGCTAGCTCTTGTGGATTAATAATAATTCTCCTCTATATGTACTGCATCACATCCTGTCTGGGAACTGTTGGATTTGAACTAAATATTAAAGTTTCTATTTGAAGTTTGAAAAACCCCACAAAGCCAGAAAGACAAAGAGTTTCTCCAACTAGAGATTAGAGGGTTTTTCCATAGCATTCCTTGGATGCATTATTTTTTTCAGTCAGTCACTTCTCACTGGAATTTCACATAATGTTAGCTAGCTAGTAGCTCACAGAGCTAGCAGGCGTCTAACAAGAGAAGTTAAAAAAGAAAAGAAAACTGAAAACACAAAGACTGGACCGATGTTACAGAACAACTGCCTATTGAAAACCCATGAAAAATTCCCACACTGAGGACCTGAATGAAAAAGCTGCAATTTAGCTTGAACAAGCTGATTAGACCTGGTTTACATAATCTAGTTAAAGTGGCTATCCAACTCAGTGAGTTACAGATCAGCCACAGCGATCCTGTCATGTTCCTAGACTCTAGTTCTGATTGGTGAATTATCATTGCTGTTGGGAATGATGACTATTTCATAGTCAGCTGAAAATGTCATTTATTATAACCAGATCTGAGGCAATAAAACAGGAAATAGAAATATACTTAAATTAAACCAGTGTGGGAAAGATTAGATGATCACAGTGGTCCTGTGAGCACGTTTAAATAAATGTGTGACAGCCTAGACCTAACAGAGGGTGAGAGGTGGAGAAAGTGTATCTGTGCTGTCGGCTGTGGCTCCAGCTGTGGTGTGCTTTCAGGCAGGAGTGGAGGTGTGAGCGCACAGCCGGGTGCCGCCCCCTTCTCACCCCGACACCCTCAATAAGTCGCTTTCTCTCCGTTAATTAGGAGAACCCTGTGGGTGTGGGGTGTGGGGGTTGTGAAACAGCTGTCCATCCTGCGGTTGCATCAGAGGCCCAGTTCATGCACTCACATCTAAGCAAATTCACAATAATTATGATGAACATCACCTATCCTTCATGTGAGGAGAGCATACTCTGATACAACAGTCAAAAAGTCAGAAGCAACCAAGTATTTTAGTCTTCTTTCAAAGACTTTCAAAGATTTGCTGTGCTATTAGAAAAGTTTGTACACTGTCATCATTGTCATAGTCCCTCTGTGATCAGCGTAGAATGAACCTGTTATACATCTTACAGCAAGGCAACGTCTTTGACAAATCAGTGGAATAGCCTCAAACACTTTCACAATGGAAACCCAGTTAGCAGTAACTGACTTTAAAAATAAAGTTATAAAATTATAAAATGGAAAATTGTCATTCTTGAAAACAAAAAAGTAAAATGAATCACCAAATTTGCTCGAAGAACTGTTAATAACCTAACAACCTGCCCAAGCGAGTCTCTGTGTGAGAAACACCAGACTGGCTGCATTGTACACCTTTGTATAAGAGTCATAGTTCAATTAGCACCGCCTGTCAGATGCTCATATAGTATTAGAAACCACCATGCACCACCACCCCCACACCTTTTAGATATCAAATAGCAGCCATTATTCAAACCAAGTGTTTTACTCTTCCTTCAAAGACGTGTTACTGCTAGAAAAGTCTGTTTTTAGGTTGTGATCCAACGCTATCAACGTCTCCATGAAGAGGTTGTTTCAAGCTATTGCTAGATCTGCCAGGCATCTTGTTTAAAGCATACTAAGGACTTAAAGCTGTTTGTCTCAACCTATTGCTTCTGGATGTGCTCTCACTCTCAAAGAGGAGTAACATGAAGATGTGCTTTGCGTTCATATTCTATAACAACTGGTACATTCCTGCGTGAATCCCAGCCATTACTGATTGTGCTTTCACTGGGATGAACCGAAGGAAACGTAGCACTCACCCTCGCACTGTTTCCCATCTCCCTTGTATCCAGGCTTGCAGATGCAGTTGTAGGATTTGGCTGTGTTCTGGCAGAGGGCGTCGATGTGGCAGTCGTCTGAGTCCTCTGCGCACTCATCTACATCTGCACAAACACAAAACATCAGCACCTAATTAGACGCGAGTCCCTGGATCAATGAACTCCACGGTGTTGCATGTGATAACTGATATATTGTTGTGATGTGATGTCATCACTTTACACATGTGAGCTAACTTAACAATTACAGAAGGTTTTTTGTATTTCCTTTGTTTGTTTGTTTGTTTGTTTGTTTGTTTGTTTGTTTGTTTGTTTGTTTGTTTGTTTGTTTGTTTGTTTGTTTGTTTGTTTGTTTGTTTGTTTGTTTGTTTGTTTGTTTTGCCTGTCCCGTTTGGTTCTTTAGCCGTCAGAATTGTTGTCTGAAGGCCAACAAAGATACCCGACAGATTTACTTTATCAATCATCATCATGATATTGATATGATAGTGGTTGAGAGAGTCATTGAGGCTATTATAAAACCGTTTACATACATCTGTAATTTATCATTTCAAACTGGTCGATTTCCAGACAGAATGAAAATAGCAATAACTATAAAACCACATTACATTCCCTTTTTACTCTTCAAAAAAAAGCAATTCGAATCATCCACAATGCAGGTTATAGGGAACATACAAACTCACTATTTTTACAGTCTGAAATATTGAAAATAGGCGATCTAGTGAAATTCCAAACAGCATAAATTCTATTCAAAGCAAAAAATAAAGAACTGCCAGGTAATATTCAGAGTATGTTTTTTTTGAAAGAAGGAAGTTATAATTTAAGGGGTTTTTGTAACTTCAAAACAATGAAGGCACGTACTACAAGAAAGAGCTTTTGTGTTTCTGTGCATGGAGTGAAACTGTGGAACAGTCTGAATATGGAATTAAAGCAACGTCCAAACATAAAACTGTTCAAAAAGAGTTGTAAAAATATGATCTTCTCCAACTATAAAGAAAAGGAAAATATTGAAATTAAGTGAATGTCTCTATTTAAAAAAAAAAAAATTTATGATGTGATATTACAGTATATATTATATCAGAAATCTGTTCACTGTTTTTATTACAAATGTTATCAGTAAGGAAGCTGACTAAATATTAACTGATAATTTATGGCAAAGGGGTGGGATTAAATAAGTGTTTACTTCTTCCCTTTCAACATGTAAATTAATCAGAAGGTTTTTTGTATGTATTTTGTATACTACTTTTTTTCTCTCTTATTTTATTTTCTAAGTGTACTTGTATATTGTTCACATGTTGAAATAAATTACCAATCAATCAATCAATCAATCAAATGGATCATCATCATGCCGTATCGGTCCATTTGATCGACCATTGTTGTTGTTATTTATTTTATTTTCAGTTGTTACAGACGGGACAGACATGGCTGTGGGACAGGAAAGGAAGAAAGAAAGAAAAAGAGAGGGGAAGAGGGACAGTGAGAAAGGGCACTTAAAAAGAGAAAGAAAAAAACCTCCCGGATCACCTGTTGAGAGAAAAAAAAAGAAAACAAGCAAAAAAAGAGAGCAACATAATAAACACAACACCATCGCATTAATCTAGCTAAGTGTGAATAACAGTAAATACTAAATATTGAAAGTTGTTGTGCAGCATGCAAGATCGACAGCACACAATTTACTTTGAGGTAGCAGCCAGGTTTGTGTTAGTTTGTGTCTGTGAACAGTGAACACCTGTGTACACACCTGTGTGGATGAGCGTGCTTGTATTCAAAAAGGGTATTTCCATTTATTAAACAGGAAGCTCCTGTGTTGGATACACTTGCAGCAATGAGCAAGTGGTCATTGCTGCACTTTACCGAGACAGGAGCGTCCTTTGGTGACAACACATATATACAGAACAGATTCAGAAAAGGATGCTTTGGCTTGTTTAATTACAAAGTTTGCCCAGCAGGGGGCTCTGACTGTATTGTTCTCAGCACTGTCTGCAGTACATGTAGCAGAGTACATGTCAGAGAGCCCAGAGATAATAAAATCATTTGAGAAATAAATTGCTAAAGTTATTTAAATATAAACCAGTTGTTATGAACACGTAGTGTGCATCAGTTTGATAGTAATATTCCCACTGACACATTTGGGTTCTTCATATTCTTCTCTCAAACGAGCAGTGACTCCTGTTGAATATGAACAATAAGAGAATTGATGAGTGAAACTAGCTACTCTGTGCAATGTGTCGTCCAGTCACGTGAACACAGAGTGGCCAAGCGTGGAAACAGGTTGAGGTTCAAGCACCCACTGATAACTCTGATGAAACACACTGATTTAATACTGTAACAGTGTAACAATGTTCCAGCACTCAACTTCCACATTTCCACACAGTCTGTGAACTTCATTTAAGGAATGCTTTCCATTCTTGGTCTAAGCAACAAAACTTAAAACTGCAACAAGTGAAAGTCCTTCATTTATAATTTTACCAATGTGGAAGTTTCATCATGAAAAAATGAATTAAAGTATTAAAGTTCTCTATGTAGAAAAGCACTTTAATGACATTATTTTCACTCATACATTACTGTCAGGATTCAGCTGTTAGTTTTTTATACTTCATATCTAACTGCATGTATCTGCTCACTAAGATTGCTTTGGTTTATCTGGGCCCAGATTGTCTGTGCAGAGGTGCTACGAGCTCAGTGAGCTGTTCTAGGGGAATACTCGTCTCGTGACTTCTAGGATGGGGTTTTACCCTGATGTGTTGTTGCAATGGTAATCCTGCTCAGCATGAGAGGAAACGTCATTTGTTGTATGAGTTCAGGAACCAGTGGTGCAAAGCTAACAACTGAACACCTCTAATTTAAAAAAAACCTGCCTAGATGCACCACTGGTTGGTCTCAGATAGCCGGACTCAGCTGCTGAAGGAGAGCTGTTCATGACTGGGCTTGGGGACAGCTCGATGAACCTGATTTTATGTTAAGGTCTTGTTGAAAGTCATTCTTTGATGAGGCAGCTCATGCGGTAGAGTGGGTGGTCTACCAACTGGAAGGCTGGTGAATCGATCCCCAGCTCCTCTAGTTGAGTCCACAGTTGCCTGCAATCCATATATGTGCATGTAGGATATATGTGTGCATGATTGGGTGAATGAAATGTGTAGTAGGGAGTGCCCAGCTTGAGTAGAAAGGTGCTATAAAGATGCTATATAAGTACCAGTCCATTTACCATTTACCCTGACAACCAGGAGACATGATCTGTCCTGCTTATCCTGTGTCTGCTCCAAGGTCTCCTCACCAACAGCTCACCTTAAACTCCAGCAGGCATCCTAATCAGATGCCCCGACCAATGTTGAGGACATATGTAACTCAAACTTCTACTTAAAAACCCGGGTAACTGTACTCAGGCTCTATTCTGGCACAGCTTGTATTGTATAGAGGTCAAGTATCCACGAACTCGAGAAAATATTGTGAGAACCATCAAATTAATAAAAGCAAATGAAAGACGAGTAATTACTCGTCCATCATGTCAGACATTTGTGTTATTAGACACACTTTTGTTAGACAATAAGAAAAGTGAAAACAGTTTGAGATATTATAACCCAGACTATTCTGTTCGATGGATCAAAGTGTGAGAGAAAAGATTGTAAAGCTCCAGGTTAAACCCATGGTTCGACCAGCTGTCTATAAATGATTTGAATAAAATGATGTGTGCTGCCTTATTCAGCTTTAATGTGACTAATTTGGCTCTTTTGCTGTTTTAAATTGTTCATTTTACCTTTTTGTTTTGCTTGAGAGTGTGACAGTGAAGGAGAGCTCTCCCGTCATGGTGCAGCTGCAGATGACATGCAGAGAGCAAAGGGCTTAACAGCTCTTCAATTGATCAAGTTATTGATAGAGGAGCTGGTCACATCTGGGCCTCAATCCAAGGGCAAAGGGCCAGCTTATTACAGAGGGAATAAACACACACACACATTCACACAAGGGGGGGACTCACAAACACAGACACAGAGATTTGTTGGATCCTACTGTCAGATCCTTCACCATCTCCACAGAGCTGCTTTCCTCGTCCTCCGCTTCCACCAGAATACAAAAGGCCAAGGTGTAGGCTAGCTACAGGCGATGAATACACCTTAAAAGGAATTTTCCAATAAATAATTTCCCAATGGAAAGAAAAAAAGTTTGGACCTAATTTGTGTAGAAGTGAGAAAGAGAAAACTAAAAAGTGGTCTGAGGGTTTCAGCTCCAAGTTGTAGCGTTTTATTTTATTAGATCATTGGAGGGGGGCATTTTAGGAGTTTGTCTGCGCTGCCTGCATCGTGGTTCGCTGTCTCAATAACCTCACCCTGTTCCCAGAGGTGAGAGTCTTAACAATATGCTGCTGCTACTACAGGCTCGTTATTGGCGCCTGCTGCCTGCCTGTTCCTCCTGGGACTTTTGACGGTCCTCCTGTCACCTTCACCAACCCTCCTCACCCCACATTTACACACACACACACACACACACACACACACACACACACACCTACCTTCCTCCTCGTCCCTCCTCCAGCTCTGGAAAGCCGGAGACGAGATGCTACGTTTCGTTAAATGACTTGCGCCGTCTCACCCCCTGAGTAAAATCCTGAAATCAGGCAGCGCTCTCACTCCAAATCAAAGCAAACGAGAGCCCAAACCATAGATCAAGCTGTGGTTTCCGACTGAAACTGACCTTTGCGCGCAGGAAACAGAAGTTCCGGTGAAGTCTGGGAGACCACTAAACCAAATTGCGCGTCACAAATGCCGCACAGAGGGAAAACGGTGATGTAAAACAGAGGTCCTGCCAAAGTGGTGTCACTTAGCTTAATAGATCAAGTATGCTTTTATGAAACGCCCAAGTTAAATTCACACCGAGCGAAAATAGTGCGCAATCGCGAGTTTTCAGTGCCATAAAGTGTAGTTTTTGCATCAACACAGCGCTGTTATGTCACATGAAAACAAGTGCCATGTAATGTCATTGCTGTATTAATACACAATGCGATTGTAGTTAAAAGGTAAGTTTAAAGACGTCGGGATATTTGAAAGATTGTTTTAAAGTCTCCAGCGACAATATTTTCACTCATCATTTCCTCATCGGAGCCGGCAAGACAGAAGCCACCACAAAAGTACTAATGGTTGACAATAAAGCAAGACAGAGAGGAAAGGGGAGCGCTTACCTGCCAGTCCGGCATTCCCCATCACCCCGCAAGTATTTATGAGGAGGATGAACAAACAAAAGTCCCGAGAAAAACAAGCGCTCCCCATGCTGACAGACGGTGTGAGGATTCAGCACGGCTTTTCTGGGGGTTTGGACTGGACTGAGTGGTGTGTGTGTGTGTGTGTGTGTGTGTGTGTGTGTGTGTGTGTGTGTGTGTGTGTGTGTGTGTGTGTGTGTGTGTGACAGGAGAGGAGGAGGACCGCTTTCAGTGGACTGGCAGTGCAAGAGAAGAGAGAGGGGGGGGAGAGAGAGAGAGAGAGACGGGGAGGGGTGGTGGTGGTGGGGATCCTAGCTTTCTGATTGGCCGGTGTATGCCGGTAAGAACGAGAGCGAGAGAGAGTGGGCGACTACAGGGTGGCTACGACAACGTGATGGAGGTACTCGGGTTCTTTTCAAGCTCAAAGCTCTCCGATAAAAACATCATTGTGAAAAATGACCAAAAAGGCCGGCGACCCCCAAGACATCCCAGGAGCTGATTTTTTTATTTTGAAGTATTTATCTAGGTTTTCCTGTGTGAAATCACTTGTATAGTAACCTCTCCAGATCTCTTTAGATGAATAAAACAGTAACGCATTAGTGTGGATATAGCCTGAGGCTATGGAGAGGGAAAGGTACTTTTTGATCAGAACCCACGCACATGACATATAACAAATACCGATGCCAAAAGTCAAGCGCGCTGTGAGCCACTAAAAGCTTTCGCCGGCGATACAGAGTCCTGTCAGCGCGCATGCAGCGATTTTCTTTGAGCAATCCTAATGTTTCCATAGCAAAAGGAGGTTATGAGTAAGAACAATCTATTTAAATGTGTACAAATATTACTGGGTTCAGTAGAAGCAGCATAAATCTTTGTTTTAAAAATGCACGTCAGACTGCGTTTCTTGCTTGGGTCAGATACATAGACTGTATATAAAAGATGAACACAGTCACTCACTGGTCTGATATTTTTAAAAATCACTACACTATTGTTGCTCTTTGCCATCACAGGGTCGTGAGCAGAGGCTCGGAGCCCCCCCCCCCCCCCCCCCCCCCCCAGACTATTGAATTATTTGTGTGCAGTGATTTTAGCGAGAATGCAGGCTTACGCAGCTTCCTCATTAATCTTTCAGACATCTTTTACATACAGCCAAGACCTCTGCCTGGATCCAGATCTTTGAATCCATCCACCCTCTAGTGGCTGATGACAGAAAACAAAATTCCATCCTCCTAGAAACTAGGTGTCACGCTGAAGCACTTTCTGATTTCTGGTCGGTACGAGGTCGGTGGAAGTGTTTGCTGGTCACATGGTTTCAGAACAAACCAGATCAAGAACTTGGTGTAAGGTGTGGTGAAGTTTAATGTGTTCATTTTTATTTTTAAGGGCTTTATTGGCATGGATGTTTAAATAAACAAATATCCAGAACATACAATAAACAGTAACAGCAATATAAATCCTTTCCTTCTTCTTCTCTTGGCAGCTCCCTTTGTTTTCAGCCGATCACCTGCCTCCATCTCACCCTCTTGCTCAACATGCCTACATCCATGAACCCTGGTATGGGTGTGTTTTCCTTTATGTCCCCGAGGTTTACAGTCTGGGAAATTACCTATAATTTTAATCTTTTAGGATGACAGTGTTTCTCATTCCTTGCACATTGATATGCTTTCTGAACTGTAACCGGCATGACTTTGGAGCTTTCATGGATAAGGAGGACACCTAGTGGCCTGATGTCAAGAGGCTAAGGAGTAGCAAATTAGGAAACAGACCTTTGGGGGGAAATTGAGTATGTAGTCATTTGACTGAAAGGAAAAGCACAATGAAAAGAAATGCAGGGATAGGAGGAGGTTCGCTGTCTTGTGACAAAATATTCCACGTGTTCTGAAGGGTCAGATATGGCCTGGCTTCTCTTTTTGTTAGAACTCAAGGACTACAGTTCATAACACTGTAAACATACATATGTGAAAATGAAATTATTTTTGTCAGACATATACAGTGGGGCAAAAAAAGTATTTAGTCAGCCACCGATTGTGCAAGTTCCCCCACTTAAAATGATGACAGAGGTCAGTAATTTGCACCAGAGGTACACTTCAACTGTGAGAGACAGAATGTGAAAAAAAAATCCATGAATTCACATGGTAGGATTTGTAAAGAATTTATTCGTAAATCAGGGTGGAAAATAACTATTTGGTCAATAACAAAAATACAACTCAATACTTTGTAACATAACCTTTGTTGGCAATAACAGAGGTCAAACGTTTACTATAGGTCTTTACCAGGTTTGCACACACAGTAGCTGCTATTTTGGCCCATTCCTCCATGCAGATCTTCTCGAGAGCAGTGATGTTTTGGGGCTGTCGCCGAGCAACACGGACTTTCAACTCCCGCCACAGATTTTCTATGGGGTTGAGGTCTGGAGACTGGCTAGGCCACTCCAGGACTTTCAAATGCTTCTTACGGAGCCACTCCTTTGTTGCCCGGGCGGTGTGTTTTGGATCATTGTCATGTTGGAAGACCCAGCCTCGTTTCATCTTCAAAGTTCTCACTGATGGAAGGAGGTTTTGGCTCAAAATCTCACGATACATGGCCCCATTCATTCTGTCCTTAACACGGATCAGTCGTCCTGTCCCCTTGGCAGAAAAACAGCCCCATAGCATGATGTTTCCACCCCCATGCTTCACAGTAGGTATGGTGTTCTTGGGATGCAACTCAGTATTCTTCTTCCTCCAAACACGACGAGTTGAGTTTATACCAAAAAGTTCTACTTTGGTTTCATCTGACCACATGACATTCTCCCAATCCTCTGCTGTATCATCCATGTGCTCTCTGGCAAACTTCAGACGGGCCTGGACATGCACTGGCTTCAGCAGCGGAACACGTCTGGCACTGCGGGATTTGATTCCCTGCCGTTGTAGTGTGTTACTGATGGTGACCTTTGTTACTTTGGTCCCAGCTCTCTGCAGGTCATTCACCAGGTCCCCCCGTGTGGTTCTGGGATCTTTGCTCACCGTTCTCATGATCATTTTGACCCCACGGGATGAGATCTTGCGTGGAGCCCCAGATCGAGGGAGATTATCAGTGGTCTTGTATGTCTTCCATTTTCTGATGATTGCTCCCACAGTTGATTTTTTCACACCAAGCTGCTTGCCTATTGTAGATTCACTCTTCCCAGTCTGGTGCAGGTCTACAATACTTTTCCTGGTGTCCTTCGAAAGCTCTTTGGTCTTGGCCATGGCGGAGTTTGGAGTCTGACTGTTTGAGGCTGTGGACAGGTGTCTGTTATACAGATGATGAGTTCAAACAGGTGCCATTCATACAGGTAACGAGTGGGGGACAGAAAAGCTTCTTACAGAAGACGTTACAGGTCTGTGAGAGCCAGAGATTTTCCTTGTTTGAGGTGACCAAATAGTTATTTTCCACCCTGATTTACGAATAAATTCTTTACAAATCCTACCATGTGGATTCATGGATTTTTTTTTCACATTCTGTCTCTCACAGTTGAAGTGTACCTCTGGTGCAAATTACTGACCTCTGTCATCATTTTAAGTGGGGGAACTTGCACAATCGGTGGCTGACTAAATACTTTTTTGCCCCACTGTAGGCTTCACCCGTTGCCTACTGGTGGTGGTCAGAGGGCCCGGTGGCGCCAGTGTCCGGCAGCCTCGCCTCTGTCAGTGCGCCCCAGGGTGGCTGTGGCTACAATGTAGCTGCCATCACCAGTGTGTGAATGTGTGTGTGAATGTGTGTGTGAATGGGTGGATGACTGGATGTGTAAAGCGCTTTGGGGTCCTTAGGGACTAGTAAAGCGCTATATAAATACAGGCCATTTACCATTTAGTTCAAGAAGTTATTTAATGCTGCTGTGTGCCTTACAGGTGTATTAGTGATGTGTTCAATGTTGGTCTGTTTAGCCTCTATGTGAAAGTCGGCTACGGGAAGATGATCATCTCTTTCTGCTGGACACCAAATTTAGCTTTTCTTCGCTCAAAATAAATTTGTCTTCAAAATGCAACACTTGCACCCGCAATTTTTTTTACGTGTGCTCAGAATAGTGGCACAAAAATAACGCCATACCCAGAGCTCCGAGTGGTTATAGAAGCTGTATCCTAGTTCAGGGTCTGCAGCCTTAAAGGCCGCATTTTAAGGCTGATTACGTCACAGCGACGCGACGAAGGCTGTCCCAATTCAAAGGCTGCTCGAAATGCGGCCCTCAAATGCGTCCTTCATTTCCCTGAATTTTAAGGATGGGTCTGTGTAGCCTTCGTGGCCCAACATATCCCAGACTTCATAGCGCGGCGGTGGTTTGGATAATTTTGCCGAAAAAAAACGGCGGAAGCGTTGACTGAACTGTCAAAAATAAGTACTGAATATGACGTCACTTATTTATGTGCGAATGTTTAATAATGAAGAACATTAAAACATTCCTGTTGGCCACATGTCGGCAAAGTTACAAACATAAGCAATGTTTGTACTAACTTGGTTTTAAAGCCTCTACTTCTAAATATATATATAGTCGACCTTAATCTCACAGAGAATGTGATGATTTATGGATAATTAAAGTCAGTCATATATCCACAAACACAACAGGCTGAAAGTCAGTGATGCTGCTCGGTCCTGAATATCACGGCACAAGCAGGATCCACTGCACTGTTAATGTGAGCTGTGTTATATTGCTGCCTCTGTTCGGTGGTGTCGAGCCAAACGGACTTTAACGTGTGTTTGAACGAGCTGACGGTTCACTCCTTAAGCTGAAAGAAAGATGCTTTAATCACAGCAGTCACACATGTGTCCACTGCACCATCTGGAACTCTTCTTGTTTACACTCGTAATAACACAAACACTAAATCCTCCTGTTTGTAGCAGTGTGTACACCTGAGACTGTCACCTGTCTGTCTGTCCTGCACTCTCTCTCTGTTTCTTTCTCTCTGATTGTGGAATAAAAGTATGAACATGTGTTTATAAGTTACACTTGTGTTTGAATCCTGCAGCTTATCACACATTTGATTTCCATGTGTGACGACTGCAAGTGTCCACAGTGAGGACAGACTGAGGGACCCACTGCTGCACATCATCTGTGAGGCTTTGCAGCCCTGATGATCCACCAGGACAAACTCAGCAGTGTGTGAGGAAGAGGAGGAGGAAGAGCCAGCAGCAGCTGACAGATGGAGAGAATAGACAGACTGTTCCCTGTTTGTGAAGGACTGCTAGGAAAGTTTAACTGTCTGTGCTGAATCAGTCTTATTAGGTAATGTTCAAATAATGTGATCATCCCAGTGTTTCCAGTGTGGGAGAAAGTACTCAGAGTACTCAGGGCCTTCAAGTTACACACTATGAAAGGCAGCAACAAGTTTAATGTTCAGAAACCTAAAGTATGCATCAGCAGCAGAATGGAGCTAAAATAAATGTTGGTTTCAGTTCTATGAAGCTTTGAGTATTTTGGATCGGCATCGTGGTGGGGGCGGCATCACGGGCATCGGCAAAAAAATAAAAATTGCTGGTACTCATGCTGCCCCGACGTCAGCCAGCGCATATTGGGAATGGCATAGGCACCGATCGGTTTTCTATCGCCCATTTGCTGGGAGTAAGGGCGCCCTCTGTTTGAGAGGTGCGCCTGCTGCTTGCGGCACAGGGAGGAGAGGGCGGGGCGGCGGGTGATTCTCTGACCGGCTGGAGCAGCATCTAATAATCCACCCCAAAATAAAACAAAATAAAAACAAACCAACAAACACAAAAACCAGACATTATGATACAGACTTATAATTTGCACCGATGTTTTTTCAAAATTCTATACGTAAAAAGTGAGCGCGAGAGCCCTCGGTGTGCCTGCTCGCTGCTGAAGTCAAAGTAAACTTTATTGTCATCTCCGCTACAGTCCAGCATATAGAGAGACGAGACGACGAGGCTCCAGTTACAGCAGTGCAAGTAAACAAACAATAAATATAAGACCAGTAAGAAAATAAATATACACTTTAGGACTAGAGGTAAAGGGATCAATAACAATTTAAAATATATAATTTACAGGTTGATGATTTAAAGTCTCACACACAACACATCGAAACGTTGAGGGGGGCCGGCTGCTTCCAAATAGAGCACATTTCATTCATAATGCTGTAAATCCAAGCCCATTATGTGTTCATGATTTGAATCCTGGGTTGTGTGAAATCCTAGAAATAAACCCTAGACAAAGTGAATCTGTGAACTAAGGTGTAGGTCTATTAGGTTATGTTGTGGTGATCCTTGAGTTGGGGGATGGGTGTTCATACTGTGCAAAATTAAAACCAAGGTGGAATAGAAAAGTTCAAAGCCATCAGGTGCTCAGTTTAGAAAAAAAGAAAAGAGGGGGAGAAACGAAAGATACAGGCAAGCAGATGTGTGATTGGATAATGGCAGGTTATGTATCCTGAAACAATCAGAATACTTTATTAATCCCTAAGGAAATTATGTGGGTTACAGTTGCTCCAAGAACTGGTAAAAATAGTAACAGTAACAGACTAAACTCCAAACAATACATTATGTTACAGATTTTAATATTAATTAGTCATTATCAGTTGTTGATTTGTCCTGTTCTCAATGTACGACGAATTATGATGGCTGTTTGGTAGTCGTTTGCATACTATGCATACTCTCTCTCTTCGCGCGTGTGTGTTTCTGTGGTGAAATTCAGTATGGTTCCGACAACAGTTTTATGTTAATGTACAATCGTTAATTTTTATGTATGTGTGTGTATGGGAGTGGGGCGCCAGAGGGAGTGTTCGTCCAGGGCGCCAAACAGGCTAAGACCGCCACTGCTGTCAAAGGTACTTGTCTTTGAGTGAAGATTTAAGGTGACAGGAAATATAAATAACTGCAACTTGAGTCTCTGACCCAGAGTTCAAGCTCACTAATCAATCTATCTGACAATACATATAATATTGTCCATATTATATTTACATCACCACAGGGAGATGATTTTAGTCTCAAGAACAACATTAGCTAATTGTTATTTACTAACTAATCTTAAATGAGTGTTCAGCACAGAAAGGAAGCCCAACAATCATGTTTACAGTCCTGTGGTCTCAGCCTCAGATACTCAACTAATCAAAGTGATGTCATGACAAAAATGAATGACCAACAAAACATTTTTTCTCCTTCATTTCTGTCACACAAAGCCGTATGAGACATTTCTCGCGGTTAGTATCATGGTTGCTAGGCAACCTGAACAGCGTAGTACTTCAAGCGTGCAGTCTCCTAATTGGGACACAGCCCCTGAATTGAGATACAGCCGCAGTCGCGTCTGCGTGCGTAGTCGTCACGTGACTCGTTGACGTGGCAGACAAGTCCAATGACATAAAAGTCTTTTATCGGTCCGCTTGACTGTCTTGCACAGACCTCCAGGAGGCAGGTCGGAGCAGAGCAGCGCTGCATTCCATCCAATCACATGAAGAAGCCACAGTGACGCCTTTAAGAACCAGAAATATGTTCGCTTTGATAGTTACAATCATGTAATCATATCTTTTTCTTCTCCTCGAGATTGTTTTTGTTACATTACCGCATGTAACCTGTCAAAATGTCCTAAAATAATGAATACTGAACGGAGTCTTTTGTGGGGATAACAGTGTGCCTTTATTTTCGCGTTACAGTACAAACAATAGCTGATAACTCGTACTGACATTACAGCGACCCCGTAACAACCTGAAACGTTCAAGTTACGTTATTTCATTCAGTTTCAATTATCAGCGAACATATACATGACCACAGCAACTTTTACCGACTGTCAACATTTACCGAATGTGTTATCCTTGATTGAAGCTCTGTACATTACAAGGTGTACACGAACGCAGCACTGAACTCCAGCAACTGTCATGGCGTCTTCCTTGAAGGGGGTTTGGTACTGGAGAAAGTAGCTGCTGTCACTTACCAGTTTCTCCGTATTAAAGCGCAGCTGACGTGGACTGAAGAGTTTTGGGGCGCCGGTAGTTAAAATGGGGACCGTCCATGCTAAGGTAAAGCTTATTTCATCCTAACCTTTAGGTGCATTTTATATCATGACCTCCCTGCCCAGTGAATGCTGCAGGCTACAGAGTCACCAGCATGTGTACTTCACGTACTGTCACACGCAGTTAGAAAATGACCAACAACAATAAAAAGCGACGCGTCAAACTGGTTGATTGCTCTTGTTGATTAAACGGTTACACTTTGCCTTTAGCTCACGTAACGAGGCGAAACGCAGGTTTTTCTCCGCTGGTTTGTCACCACGTTTTAGATAAAACTCCTGGTTATAGTGATTATATTTTAGGGACATTTGCGCCTTCAAGTATTTAAAGGAAAACACTAAAAATTCACACCTGTGTGAACATTATTTTCCAGTACTTGCCCAGACCAGTATTGTCATTCATTTGTCATGTCCCGCACGTATTTACTGCGTGTCAGGACTCCTGTCTTTGCTAGTACTCCACGTCCAGCGACTTTCACCGGCATCAGACACTCCTTCCTGAAGCTCCACCCACTGACCCTCTTGGCCTTTGTTTTCCAGCTGGTTTTTAAAGGTGTCATACGAAGGGTTTTTTCCAATTTGAGACTTTTTATTTCCTTCTTGTACTGTGACATAAACCATTTCAAAATACAAAATACAGCATCAGACATGGAAAAATAGCAAATGTAACTTTTTTATGGACACTTTTTCAATTAAATATGTTGCAAAAGTCAAATTTGTTTCAGGTATCCTGTGCTTCCTTGCATTAATGCACTTTATTTGTCCTCGGTGCAGAGTCTGGATCCACTCCCAATGCATGGCCGGGACTTGGATGTCCACCCTGAAGATTTCATGGAGACTCCAGACCAAGGGCAAGACTCCAAACAGGAGATCCTTGAAAACAAAGATGTGAGTAGTTGTCAAAGCAAAACATGCTAGTTGTATGTTTCTATGGTTTATTGTTTTATGTCATGTATGTTCTGCAGCTTTGGATGTTCATATTAAACATGGCCAAGTATCAACTAAAAAGTTAAACTTTTAAGAAAGTGACCGCGATCAGCCAAAAACTCAGGCCTCAGGTTGTCCGTACAGTCACAGTTGGATGTAGCCAGCTCATTTGCTTTGTAGGGTCATTGCTACAAGCGCAGCATGCACGTGGACAGGCAGAACGGCTCGCGAGCTGCCTGTTTGTAGGTTAGGGCTCTGTGAGGAACCACCAAAAATATGAAATGAAACTGTCAAGATGCAAACGAAGTGCAGACCTTAATTCAAGGAGCTGAACAAAATCTTTGCATTGATTGTTAAGAAGCTACAACAGTTTTATTTGTGTGAAATGTCTGGAGATGATTTCCCTGTTTCCAGTCCTAAATGTATATATGCTTGATAGTACGGTGCTGAGCATAGCTGTAACTAAGTGTTGTGCACCACAATAGTGCAAAGAATAATAGTAACTGTTGTGATCCTAACCAAACTCCACTTCATACAAGTGTATGAAGTGTAAACTGAATGTAGGATACAGTAAGATTGCCATAGTTCATAATGCAGTGTGTTGACTCAACCACGAGGTCATGCAATAGGATATGACCATCAGACACATGATTAAAAGTAGCAGTTTTTAAAAGAAAGTAAGTGTTTGGTGACGATGTGACTTTTATCCTTGATCACAGGTGGTTGTCCAGCATGTGAACATCCAGGGTCTGGGGAGAACCAAAGAGGATCTGCTTGGCTATGAGATCTCTGATGTTTTCCATGCCAAAAATCTCATTGATGTATGTCTCATAATTCTGCTTTTCATTAAGCCGTCACGGTCGTCTCAGTGAGTCTATCTGAGATCCGTAAATAACTGCAGAGGTCTTTTTTCAGGTGATGAAAAGAGCTCATGTCGCTAGGCAGAGGCTGCTCCGCCTGGGAATCTTCAAAGACGTCGAGGTTCTGATCGACACATCTGAAGGTAACTGATTTACACCTGCAGCCCAGAACAGAGCTTTGATTTCACCTGCTGTTCTCATGTGAAGCAGGGATGGTCTGTAAAAGTGACTGCATAGTGTGGTAAACACTCAGCTGACAGAAGCATTCTTTGTTCTGATTGGACCTCAGGTACAGATGCTCTGCCCAATGGCCTGGATGTAACTTTTGAGGTGACAGAGGTCAAGAGGCTGACAGGGAGCTACAATACCATGGTTGGCAACAATGAAGGAAGCATGGTGAGAGACGCAACAGCTGGCATGTTATTTAAGCTGCATGTGTTAACAGTGATGAATAACTTGCCCAGTTTGTATTAATAAAGACACTTATCATACCTCAGAGCTGCCTGTTTGACAGAAGTGTGTTTGTGACCCTCTGTAACGTCTCTCAGGTTCTGGGTTTGAAGCTGCCCAACATGTTGGGGCGAGCTGAGAAACTTACCTTCCAGTTCTCCTATGGGACCAAGGAGACGTCCTATGGCCTGTCTTTCTTTAAGCCCCAACCCGGACATTTTGAACGCAAGTATGTGCACAAAATCCCGCCTTTTGTGTTCTTGTTCTTTCACTGTTTTTTTCAGTTGGGCTCTTTTTTTTTGTTTTTTTTCCCCAAGACGGATCCTCTGTTCAGCCTTGTTCAGAAGGTTTTCAGTTTTTTGACAAATGGAGACATTATGTGATTTTTCTCATGTTCTTCCATAACTACAATCAGCTGCGTTCATATACACTTCACTCCGCTGTTAAACAGAGCAGGAATTTTTAGCACAGCTTTTCCAAACATGCTTTTATTTTGGATGCTTTGACTTTACACACAGAGAAAGAATTATTTCACAAGCATCAGAAACTGTCAGGGTTAAGATTATTAGTCCTCCTGATGTTTAGAGGGGAACTGCAGTGGTTTGAATCATATCTATGTAATGGACTCCAATTTGTTCATGCAGATTACACAATATGATTAATTATGGAGTTCCACAGGGTTCAGTGCTAGGACCAATTCTGTTTACATTATACATGCTTCCCTTAGGCAGCATCATTAGAAGACATAGCATACATTTACACTGCTATGCAGATGACACCCAGCTCTATCTGTCCATGAAGCCAGATAACACACACCAATGAGTTAGACTGCAGGAATGTCTTAAAGACATAAAGACCTGGATGGCCGCTAACTTTCTGCTTCTTAATTCAGATCAAACTGAGGTTATTGTACTCGGCCCTGAAAATCTTAGAAATATGGTATCTAAGCAGATTCTTCCTCTGGATGGCATTACCTTGGCCTCCAGTAACGCTGTGAGGAACCTTGGAGTCATTTTTGACCAGGACATGTCCTTCAATGCACATATTAAACAAATATGTAAGACTGCGTTCTTCCATTTGCAGCATAATACTCCCACCGCCGTGTTTCACCGTGAGGATGGTATCCATCTGGCTGCATGCCTCTGCATTCTTTCTCCCAACATAAGCAGAATCTCTGTGGCCAAAGAGCTCTAGTTTTATTTCATCTGACCAAAGGCTGTGCTTCCATTGCGCCTAGTCTTTTTCCAGCTTATCTTTAGCAAGCTTCAGTCTGGCTTGGTGGTGTCTCTTCTGCAGAAGTGGAGTTATTGATGGTCTACAGCCTCACAGTCTGTCTTCACTGATGGTACTGTCAGGCCCTTTAAGTTTGTGCAGCTTGCCCATTTGGAAGGGATTGATGCATCTACCACAGGTGTTTAACTGGACTTCACTCAATGACCAGGCAGAGCTTTTGTTTCTCTTTCCTCTTTAATCCTCTTTTCAGCCATAGATGGAAAAACCAGCTGCCTCCCTTTATTTTATAGACACATCAGTTCCACACAGTCTCCCTGCTGGTGACTACTTGTTGAAGGAATTATACTGGTTTCTTTCCCCGCATGTGACAACTTCCTGTCATTCCATAGTTTGTCTTCTTTTCTTTCCCGGACAGAAAAATAGACACAAGATTAGTTCCTGGCTTGCCTACCAAGCTGTCACTGTACTTGTTGCCTCAGGGTTCACCGCCTCCTAAATTCCTGACTTGGCTAAGTCCTTCACTGGTATCTGGGCAGTTGTTCTGGAGTCTGTAGATGCATTCAGCTCAATTGGATTCACTTCAATCCCAAGAAAGGCACCGGGAAAATTTTTACCAAAACCTTCAGTTTCATAGGTGCCTAATATTTTGTCCTGTCTGCGGTATTTGCTGTCACACACTGTTCCTCATAGTCACAGCTTGCTGTGTTTAACATGTGTTGATCATAATTATTGATAGTCCGGTACAGTCAGTGCATTGTTTGGAATTGTGCAACATGTGTGTTATTGTTTTACAGAATAGCATTTTCAAAATGTGATACTAGCAGAAGGTGGCCAGTAGGTGTCACTGTGGCAGTGGGAGTCGGACTGGTTCGAAACCTCATTACACAAATGCTTTGAGCATTTCAAACCTGGATATGTTGTAATTGTTTTGCACCTTTTGTGCAGTTTGAAGGCTGAGGTTAGAGAATCATGCTGATGCAAAACTGTCTGTCCTGTCTGGTTCCCCCATTAAAATCCATTCGTACTGTACAGTGGTTTCTTTAAGATGTGGTGATCTATAAATATACATAAAAGTTTGTACTTATAGTCTGTACCCACCCCTCCATCGAACTACCATATGCTACACAAAGGCTCTCTGTAATATGAAGAAATTGTCCTAGGACTGGCTGGGGAACTCCAGGCCTCGAGGGCCGGTGTCCTGCAGGTCTTAGATGTGTCCTTGATCCAACACAGCTGATTCAAATGGCTAAATGACCTCATCAACATGTCTTCTCCAGAGGCCTGGTGATGAACTAGTCATGTGATTCAGGTGTGTTGACCCAGGGTGAGATCTAAATCCTGCAGGACACCGGCCCTCGAGGCCTGGAGTTTCCACCCTGTCCTAAAAGTTGATGTATGAAAAGTAATTCATGGTCATTTGTTGTACTTGTCAGTCTCTGCGAGGTTATAGACACAATGAGCCTTCAGCGTTACTTATCATAGTGGAACAGCTAATCATGTAGACCTTGCAGTACCAGAGTTTTTCCTTACTGGAGTTCTTTGTTTTTTCCACCATTTCCCCCAAACAGGTTTCAGCCACAGCCAAAGGAAAATCACCTGGAGTTAGTTTAATGAGGAACTCACAAAGCTTTGTGGCATTTTCTGACAGCAGTCGTTCTTCTGATTTTTCATTTAACTTGTTTCTTACGCATTCATCTACCAATAGGCATCTATATGTTGAAATATGTGCCGTTGTCTGTTTCAGCCTCACCCTCAACATGTACAAAGTGACGGGCCAGTTTCCATGGAGCTCCTTGAAAGAGACTGACAGAGGTGTATCTGCAGAACTGAATGTCAGTGGAAACGATATTAAAAATGATGACAGTTACTGGGAGAGGGAAGGAGTAACATTTGTGTCTCTCTGCAGTTTCCTCTTGGCGTGACCAACCACACGCTGAAGTGGGAGGGTGTATGGAGGGAGCTGGGCTGCCTGGCGCGCAGCGCTTCCTTTGCTGTGCGAGAGGAGAGTGGACACTCACTGAAGTCTGCTCTCTCTGTATGTCACTAAATTATTACGGTTCCTTTCAACATGTGCTTTATTATCATGTCGTGAGAGTTATTGATTATTGATGATTGCACCAGTTCAGCAGGTCTCCTGTTGGTTTTGTTTGCAGCACACTGTGTCAGTTGATTCAAGGAACTCTGCCATCTTTCCCAGCAGAGGTGCCTTACTTCGCATCAACCAGGTAAGTGTGCGCACATAAGTACACTCGTAAACGTCTGTCTGCCACACTTTTGGCTCTTGACATTAGGTTTGAAAAAGTAGCAATCCCCACATTTGCCTCACCTGACCTCTGAGAGATACGTCAGGTACGATGGACAGACAGGCCGTATAGGGAAAAATGGGCGTTTCTTCCAGGTCTAAAGGCGTTGCCACAGTGGGTGTGCCTTAGACCTGAGTACAAGTTTTATGAGAAAATGAGCCTTCGCTGATAAATCACTAGATTCAAGTCTTCCTAAATATAACACCGTGGTCCTTTTTCACTCCAATCTTCCCCCCAAAGGATCTTTATACACATGAGCCTGAACTCTGTTCTTGAAGAAAAAAGTAAAGTTTTAGCTGTGAGATTTTTTTTACTACTCTTCCATTGAATGATATTGTTACCAACATCAAAATCATAATGATCAGTAGGTGTGTTGCAGGATTGTAACCGAGTGTGTTTGTATGTGTAGGAGCTGGCTGGATACACTGGAGGAGACGCCAGCTTCTTGAAGGAGGATTTTGAGCTGCAGCTCAACAGACGGCTCTTCTGGGATTCTGTAAGAGTGAAATAAGTCACACATGACCCGTTCAGTATGATTCTGTAATAATATCTGTGTTATGGAGGGTTTCACTTGGTCATTTTATACTTGATTACTCAGGCTGTGTGTATGTCAGCCAACCAGCAGGGGACAAAAGAGTTGGCTGTTAAACTAAATGTGATGTGTATAAGAAACGTTTTATGTCCCCTCAGGTTTTGTCTGCCTCTCTGTGGGGTGGGATGCTGTATCCCATTGGAGGACAGCCGTCCTGCATAGCTGACAGGTATGCCTGATTTCTCCAAGAGCTGATGTCTGACTTTGACTCACCAGCACTGCTACAGTAGATCAGCAAGTAAACTGAGCTTTCTGAGCAGTCAGTTACTCCAAATGAAATATAATAAAGCTGATTTATTGTGAGTTTGGTATGAAGGAGGACAATTATTTTTATAATTTGTCTTTTAGACTTTTGTACTTACCAGTAGAACTGCTTTCCTACGGCTTTCTTTACCCAGTTTTTGTCATTTTGTCATCAAACTGTCGCCTGATGGTGAAGTCATTTTGTATTTTGTCCAGGTTTTACCTTGGAGGCCCAACTAGTGTACGAGGATTTGGGATGTACAGCATCGGGCCACAGAGTGAAGGTAAAGTCCATTGTGACATCGATAACAGACATCACCAAGTGTTCTGTCACAAATGTTTGAACACCTGAGAAAGAGCGGTCTGCAAACTGTGAGCTGTTTTTCTGTCACGAGGCTTACGTTAGTTAAATTGTAATGCGGTACGTCTGTGTTACATTGTTTCCAAATGATGTGACAGGCTGAACCAGACGGATACATAGGAATCAGTCCGTTTACCAAAAGGTACAGGTTTGTAACTCTGTGCTGTCTGAATGTGGATGGACTCCCATGCAGCATATTAACAAGCAGTACAAATACAGAGCAGATAGCTCAGTAGGTAGAGTGGTTGCCCCATGATCGGAAGGTCGGGGGTTCGACTCTACTGAACAGCTACCCTGAGGTACCCCTGAGCACCTACACACTGCTCCCCGGGCGCTGCATTGGTGGCTGCCCACTGCTTCACTGGGCGAATCCCTACGGGGACTAACACATACACATTAGAGCTTAGCAGCACAGAAGAACAAAAATAGACAGTTCACTGTGGTTCCTCTGTGTGTTCTAGGTGACTACCTGGGTGGAGAAGCATACTGGGCAGGTGGTCTGCACCTCTACACTCCTCTACCATTCAGACCAGGCAAGGGAGGCTTTGGAGACCTTTTTAGAACACATTTCTTTCTCAACGCAGGAAATCTCTGCAACCTCAGCTATGGTGGGTGAACACTGTCGTCTGTGAGATTCAGCTTTTTCTTTTTGCCTCTGTCTTTGATTCGTTTGCCTGTTTGTGGCTCTTTCACAGTAAGATATAATAAGTTCGTTTCCATCTGGGCTTCGTGACAATTTTATTTACATTTTTTTGAGGAAAGTTTTTTCTCAATCAGCTGTTACTGTTTAACAGAAATGATGCCATGAATCTGTAGTGTGCAAGTTGTGCTGCATCATTGTTCCATGTTATGTTGTGCAGGTGACGGTCCACGAGCACACCTTCAGAAGCTAGCTGAGTGTATTCGCTGGTCGTACGGAGCGGGCATCGTACTGCGGCTTGGAAACATCGCCAGACTGGAACTCAACTACTGTGTGCCCATGGGAGTTCAGAGTGGGGACAGGTGGGGGTCCGGTGCAATATGACTACTGCATTTTTCAGGGTTTTTATAGATGCAACATGGGAAGGGCATGGCTAACTGGTTAGCAGTTATTGAATTTTAAAAGTGTAGGAGGACTGTCCAAAGTCAGGTGATGATGGCGTTATTGTATCAGATGAAAAAAAAGAAAAATGCTGAAACTACCTCAGTGAATGGCACAAACTGGGACTACTTTCTACCTAATGTGGTAACGTAGATGTGCAGTGAGTGCAAAAACAGCCCAGCCTGCTTTCAGTGCCAGTAAGGAGTCTACAACAGCAGTGTGGTAGTGGTGGTCCTGAGGCAGTAATCAATGTTTTTATGAGAGCACAGTGCTGCACAGAAACATTAGATTCAGAGTATTGTACAGAAGAAACACGGCTGTATGTAAACTACAGATAACCTTCCAGCTCGTCCTTAACTCTGCACGTTTTTGGCTCGATATCGATACCTGACATAACTGATTTTACGTCAATAACAGACTAAAAATATAGCGTCGAGCTTCATGGTAGCAGGGTTTCTGGGAAATGTCTCGTTAAGCGTGAGAGCCTGCCTCCGGATTTCCCGACTTGTGTTTCTCGTCTCCTCTGTAGGATATGTGACGGTGTCCAGTTTGGAGCTGGAATTCGTTTCCTGTGACCTCATCTGTCTGCCGCCCCGAGTCCTCCAGTCGCTGATGTGAAAAGGGAAACGTTTTGTCATTGTCACCTGTAACTTGTCGTAGACTGTGTAACACTAGCATGGATCCTGGATAAAAATGTGCCTGACCTTGCCAAACTCTTCTTTTACATGCAACAAAATGATAGTTAGACATTTTACAGAACTCAGCTGATTGGTCAGTCAGACGCAACCTGATATAAAATGTGTTTAGCAGCTCTGTAAAATACCCAACACGGGTGAAAAAGCGTCTCAGCAGTCATTGATCGATGATTCCTCTTCCTGGTTTGTTTGCTTTTCCTTTGTTTGAGGTCAGCAGCACTGGCACCTTGTTTGTGGTAAAATAATCCAACCAAGTTGTTTCCCGTGACAACACAAAATAAAGAATTTCCAGAATGTTTAAAGATGTTCTGGGCATGCAACATGCCATCTGCTTCTCCAGGAGCATCACATGTTAATCATTTAATTTGACAGTTAAACATACACCGCACGCTCTCTCCTGAGTTGGCGTGTTTGCTCGAATTGTACTTGATGGACTGCAGTATAGAAACCAGCACTTTTTTTGATCACAACGGTGGCGCGGGAAGGAAGCGAAGAGGAGCGGCGTTCCCGTGCTCATCTGTCAGACGTGCAGAGGCGGGAACCCTCCCCCGAGCAGCATCCACCAACAGTGCTCTTACCTCTTTTTGATGTTGTTCAAGCTATTCACAAATAAATCACATCTGCTCCCTGCTTTCTTTCCTCTCCCCTGTTTGGTGTCTCAAACACACACTCAGAATGGGATAAAAGTAAAAGAGGCGGGTAATCGCCCTGTTTTATACCTTTTAGTGGGTTTGTTTGAAGCTCTAATAAGAGCTGCAAATTGATACCACGGACGTGTGCCAATATTTATGCATTTGTTTAAATGAGTCTCACAGTAAACATTTTCTTCAGTAGCGCTGTCTCTCTTGACGGTTAGGGCTCTGTGGCAGTGGCCTGGTTTTTCATTTCATAACAGCAAATGGTTCTCTGTTAGGTTTGACCTTGACTAGATTGTTTTGGACCACAGCCTTTACATCTGTTAATAAATCTGAATCTTATTTGAGCAGGTAATAACATAGACTAGAATAGAATTCAACTTTATTGTCATTGCACATGCACAGGTACAGGGCAACGAAATGCAGTTTGCATCCATCCAGAGGTGCTTTAGTGATATAGGTATATTACAATATATATTAGCAATAATATAGATATGTGAGTATATTACAGAAATGGGTCTATTATGGTATGTTATAATGTACACGGTATGAAGTATGTTGTGAATATTCTATAACTATAAGTATGTACAGGCTGTAGTGAGTACAAGCTATGTACAGGATATAAACAGGATATAAATATGAAAAACTATACAGAATATGAAATAAATAACTTTACAGGAATCTGAGATATACAGCTATACAGAAATGGGAACTATGCAAGTTGTAAACAGTTGTAGGATTAAAGATTATCGAATGTACAGAATGATTATTTACACAGAGCTATACAGTAGTGCAGTTAAGATAAGTGAGGGTGTAGATAGTTTCTACAGAGGCTATATAAAGTGCTAGTGGTTGTGAGTGGTGGTTCACTCCATGTTATTATTGTGTGTTTGAGGGTACAGTTGTCCATTGTGGGTGTGTGTATGTTCAGTCCATGAGTTTAACGTGGGTCAGATGTCAGGAGGCAGAGTTCAGGAGTCTGACAGCTGTGGGGAAGAAGCTGTTCCGGTACCTGGTGGTCTCCTGTAGCGCCTCCCAGAGGGCAGGAGGGTGAAGAGTCCATGTGATGGGTGACTGGGGTCTTTGATGATTTTCCCAGCCCTTTTCAGACACCGCTTCCTGTAGATGTCTTTTATGGCAGGAAGTGGTGCTCCGGTGATGCGCTGGGCAGTTTTCACGACCTTCTGCAACGCCTTCCGGTCCGAGGCAGAGCAGTTCCCGTACCAGACTGTTATACAGTTGGTCAGGATGCTCTCGATGGTGCAATGATAGAAGTTCACCAGGATGTCTGAGGACAGGTGGTTCTTCCTCAGAGTCCTCAAGAAGAAGAGGCGCTGGTGAGCCTTCTTGACCAGCTTGGAGCAGTTGGTCGTCCAGGTGAGATCCTCGGAGATGTGGACTCCCAGGAACTTGAAGCTGCTCACACGCTCCACAGCCGTCCCCTTAATGTGGATGGGTGGATGTGGGTCAGCATTCCTCCTGTAGTCCACGATGAGCTCCTTGGTCTTCTCGGTGTTAAGCAGCAGGTTGTTTGTGTCGCACCACAGCCAGACGATCCACCTCCTCCCTGTAGGCGGCCTCATCGTTGTCCAGGGTGGGGGGGGAGACAGGATTTGAAGTGTGCTAGGACCAGCTGCTCTAAGCACTTAGTGATGATGGGGGTGAGTGCTACTGGGCGGTAGTCATTGAGGCAAGATGGGTTGGAGTTTTTGGGTATGGGGACGATGGAGGTGGATTTGAAGCAGGCCGGTACCACAGCGTGGGCCAAGGACAGGTTGAATATGTCTGTGAGCACTCCTGCAAGCTCCCCAGAACACGCTCTGAGAACACGCCCGGGGATGCCATCAGGACCTGCAGCCTTGTGGACATTGATCCTGCTCAGCACCGCTCCTACATCGGTGGGGGAGAGAGTCAGAGGTTGGTGGTCTGGCGTCATGTCTGCTTTGGTTGTGGGGTTCCCTCGCTCAAAACGAGCATAAAAGTTGTTGAGCACGTTGAGGAAGGAGACATCAGAGGATGCGGGGGAGGGTTTGGTGGTCCTGTAGTCTGTGATGGTCTGGAGTCCTTGCCACATGTGTCGGGGGTTGGAGTTGGAGAAGTGTTCTTCTACCTTCTTTTTGTAATGGTGTTTGGCTTTTTTGATGCCCTTCTTTAGATTAGCCCTGGCTGTGCTGTAGGCGTGTGCATCTCCTGACCTAAAGGCAGTGTTGCGGGCCTTCAGGAGGAGACGAACATCCCGGTTCATCCAAGGCTTCTGGTTGGGGTACATGGTGATCCGTTTCTGGGTGGTGACACTGTCTGTGGTTTCGGAGATGTAATCCAGTACAGATGAGGCGTACTGGCAGGCACGTGCAGAGGGGGGGGGCTAGAGGGGCTTGAGCACCTGCCCCTTTCCTGATGGGTGCCCAAAGTGCCCTTTTGTTGAGGCAACCTTAACATTTTTATTTTTTTTTTTTTTATGTGTGTGTGCGTGCGGAGTCCTGTCTGTGCCCATCAACAATAATATTTAACTATTAATCACAGTTTTGCTAAATAAAAGGATCTGGCTTGCATCAGTCACATGATCACATTTAACCAATGATCACTCTTGACGGCAGAACGCGCTGGTTACGAGCCGGGAACGAGCTCACAAAGAGCACGCGCATTTTTTGCGGTCCGGAGCTGCAGCGAAACACAAGTTAACTCAGAGACACAGAGTGATGCGACAAACCCAGTAAGTAGGTGTACAGCGCACACTGTAGTGTGTAGCACACAGGAGTATTAGCTTATTACGTACACGTTGGTAAGTTGTCTTGTTGCAACTGATGAACTGAAACAAACGAGCGTGCTGTGTATGCAACAGCGCGACAAACATTACCTGTCCTTTTATTAACTGCACAGGTAGTGCTGGTCACAGCTGCTGGCTACCTGTGTAAGGCTGTCATGGGTCTGTAGCTCTGTCACCGTTTTAGGGAACATATTTAGTTTGAAAGTATTTATAATAATAATAATAATGGATTGGATTTATACAGCGCTTTTCAAGGCACCCAAAGCGCTTTACAATGCCACTATTCATTCACTCTCACATTCACACACTGGTGGAGGCAAGCTACGGCAGTGGCGTGTCTAGAAAATTTTTGTTGGGGGGGCCAGGTAGGGGCACAGATTTGGAGAAGGGTGGCAGATGTAATTGGCAGATAATGTTAAAAACAATTCTACCAACCGTTAACCATAATTCAATAACCCTGTAAACCTAATAACCGTAACCTTATTAGAATGAGATTTTAACCACTACGGTGCAAAGTGTTTAGATACTGTGTTGATTAAGTACAAGAGATACAATCAGTCAGTGTTTATTCAGCATTCAAGGACATCAATATTTGCATAGTATTTTTACTGACATGTAGTGCACATGTGTTTTGGGCAAAAACATTTTTGAATATTAAAATACGAACATTTTTAACATACAATTGGCAAATTAGCCAATTCCAATGCAAAACCAATGCCTGTTAAAAAAAAAAAAGAAGATAATCTTCTCACAAACTGGTGTTTGATTTTGAAACAGGAAAAAAGTGGAGAAACAACTGAAAAGACTAACATTTGAATAAAACCTGAAAGCAAGTAAATACTTTATATGCTGCCTTACTTTGGTAATATTGAGAACAACACTGGCTGATGATGAAATGCAGTCAGCTGGCATGGTGACACTGCCAGTATTAACCTGCAGGGCTGGACTGGGACAAAAAATTGGGCATTTTCACTACAGATTGGCCCACCAGGTATTAAAGCCATAAAGCCTTTGAATGAAAACAAATGCTGTTGTGACAGTGATGTACAGTCTTTTTGGTATATGTATGATTTCTATACATTTTACGTCAGATAAAAACTTTCTTCGCAAGATTCAGATAATTATTTAATAAAAGCTAGATATTTTAAATGAGAATAAAAAAGAAAAGTATTTCTTTATGCCCTCCTCTCCCTGTTAATGCCCTACATGGCCCCCTGGCAACACTTTGCTAGACCCGCCCCTGCACAGTTACCAGCTGTCAGCTACATAAAAAAAGGATCCTGGTGTTATTTGTCTCTCAGAAACAGTTCATAACTTCAACTCATTCCTGTCACCTAAAAGGTAAACCTGTTTCTCCATCACCTGTTCAGCTCTGATGGTTCAGTAAGGACATCTCCTGGTTTCATCTTCATGTTTCCCTCTCACCACATATCCAAACCGACATCATGACCAGCAGCTTTACAGCTGTGGCTCCAGCAAACATTCTAACTAAATAAATTCTAACAACAGCTGATCAAGCTTAAACGTGCTGCTGCTGTTTAGCGCGACATCTGCAGGTTTCCTCTTTCTGGCACAAAGTGGGTGATAAACAAACAAGAGAGACGATCAGCTGATCATTGATCAGTTTCATGATTGAAGTAGCAACAGGAGAGAGAGGAGAGAGAATGAGAGGAGAAGAGGCAGCTGTGCAGCGTAAAGACAGAATAACTCCAGTTTTGTGTCTTTTTCCATCCTAGCTGAAGTCCGGGACAAACTGCGTCTTTTCTCAGCTCAATACCAAACCCATAATATTTTCTCTGAATGAGGGACCATTCCATTTTTAAGGAGCTGTTGGCAACTCTACTAACTAACCTTATGAATAAAATAAAGTTCACTATCAGTAACATCATAGCAACCGAACAGCTGTATAAACTCGTCATGCTAGCTCACACAGTATGAGGTATTGTAACTGACTGTAAAAAGTCAGCACAACGAAAATAAACTGCACCTAAACTTGGTTCATATCTGACCCAGAGAGACTGCAGGTCATAACTTCTTACCTGAAGTTCAGTTCACCTGACACTCGGACTGGTGGCCGCCTCGGGGCTCTCCTCCTGCCTCCCCTTCCCTCATCCACCTGCTGGCCTCTGTGGAAGCCCTGCCATAGCCACCACCAAACCACTGAGTTATTTTTACACATCGACCTGCATCTTATAACTCATAACTCTTATGTTAAGTGGGGGAACTTGCACAA